ACTACTACTACACACACACACACACACACACACACACACACACACACACACACACACACACACACACACACACACACACACACACACACACACACACACCGGTCTCGCTAATTTCCTGGGGCCAACACCACTCCACCAGGCCTGCAAACAGCTTGGCAGGTTTGTGTGTTTGGCTCCCTGCGCTGTTTGCAGCCAAGTGCAGAACATGGGCCGGAGGCAGGTGGCAAGGCAGTGTTTCCTGCCAGAGAGGGCCCGGGAGTGTTTTGATCCCCATGCCACTAGCAATTTGAACCCAACTCTGATGAGTTTCCGCTCCAAATCCAGTCTGTCATCCCCAGGGTGCGCACAAGAGGGCAGTGCAGCACTGCTCCAGCCGGCCAGGCGTTTGGGGGTGCCATGCGGGAGATGGATCTCTGGGTTCTCCTGGGACTTTATCCAGTGGAGTGATGGGGACGGGGGGTGCACAGACATGTGCCTATGGTTTCAACTTCTCCAAGCTGGCAGGCCTCGCCAGGCCGGTCGTTATTGCTATGGTAGCGCCTGCGGGCCCCAGCGGGCCGGGTGCTGCGCAGAGTGGGAGATGGTCCCTGGCCGGAAGAGCTCACTGCCAGCTGCTGCGCTCATGCAGTTGGCAAAGACGGTGGCTGCCTCCCTGCTGAGCCATGCGGAGCCTGGTGCCCGGCAGTCGCTGGCGCTGGCCCAAGCCAGGGTCTCTGCTCTGCCAGCATGGCAGAAATGGCCCCCTCTCTCCTGGCCCTGATTGACGTCCTGGCTGGCAGCCGCAGCGGGGAGGGGTGAAAATCCCCTCTCTGCCCTAGGGCTGGTCCCTCGAGGGCAGGCTGGAGTGGGGGTTGGGGGCAGGAGGCCTTGAACATAACTGAGCAGGGACAGTCAGCCAGCATCTCCGGCTCCTAGCACTGGGCCAGCATTAACCCATTGGGCCCCACAGCCCTCTATGTTTTAGATCAGTCTCCTTGGGGGAAACTGAGTCACGCAACAATCTAGGCCCACATGTCCAGCGAGTTTGGGTGCCCAGGCTGTGGGCTGGTTTTCAGGGGGTGCTGAGCCCCCACCTGCTGCCAAAGAGTGCTGAATACCGCCCGCCTCCCTCAGTAATCAGCCCTGCACACTGGCGGATGAGCACCCAGCCGCTCCTGGCTCCCAGGCCCATGTTCCAGCCTCAGCCTACGCTGCCTGTGTTGAGGGGCACTGAGGGAGCTCTGTGGGGGCGGAGGTGGGACCCCAGGGCTGGGCTGCCTGGGGTGCTCCTGGTGGGGTGCCGAGTTCCAGTCAGTGTGCAGGGGCCCCACTCGCTTGCTGGGAAGGTCCTGTCAGGGGTTTTGGGTCCTGTCAGGGCACTGGGGATTTGGGGGTCCCACCAGGGTGCTGGGAAAGTCCTGTCAGGGGGTTTGGGTCCTGCCAGGGCACTGGGGATTTGGGGGCCCCATCGGGGTGCTGGGAAGACCCTGTTAGGGTTTAAGGGTGCTGTGATGGTGCTGGGAACGCCCCTTTGGTGCGCTGGGATCCAGTCAGGGTTAGGGGGACTCGTCGGGGTGCTAGGACATTGCTTGGAGCCTTTTCATGGAAGAAGGAAAAGTCTGCAGAGGGGGTGCTTGGGGTGGCACAGTGGGTGCTCAGGGCTGTCCCAGAGCCCCATTGGGGCACCGCACCCTGGCAATTGCAGCAGGCACAGGGCACAGCAGCGCTCTCTGCCCGTTGCTGTGACACCGGGTGGGGGGGTTACGTGGGTAAGGGCAGGGAGTGGGGTGACGAGATGACCCCTCCCCCACCTTCTGCAATCCCCCCTTGGCCGTGAGCTGCCGTGAGCCCGGCTGCTTCACCATCCATGCAGGGTTTGGACTCTCAGCCTGTGGGGGCAGGGGGATCCCAGCAAGGCAGTTCAAGGAAGTGGGGGAGTCGGCCAAGCCCTCGCTGTTCCTAGGACAGACGCTGTCACTTCCCGCTTCCTCCTTATCCCCCAGAGACCCCCCTCCCTTGGGTTCTCCTGCTCCAGGCAGCGCTCGGAGTGGCATTAGGCCTACGGGGGGGCGCTTGAGTCCCCACACCTCCGAGCTCTGATAATGGCTCTACCACTGAGTGCCAGCTCCCCAGCCCTTCCATCCAGCCGGCTGCTGCCCACCAGCACCAACCCCGGGCTTGTGCATGGTCCCAGCTCCCTTCACATTCTGTCTGGTGGCCAGTCTCGGCCCCAGCTGCCTCGGCCCTCATGGGTGACTAGATACATCTGTGCACTCACCTGCCTGTGCATCCAATCCGGCTGCAGTCTGGCCCCGGGGCCTCGGCCCGGGCCTGTTTCACTTTTGACAGCTCTAGCCAGGTAGAATTTATAGCTGCTTCTTGGCAAAGTCCTGAGCCGCACCAACCCCAATGTGGTTTGCATTATTAATATTGACCGTGGTCTGATACCGCAGCACGAGTGTTGTTGATAATGGGCCGGGCACTCGCTATCCCGCAGGCAGGACAGGCTACTGCAGCGAGGCAGGCATGCCAAACGCTGGCACAGACACAAGGAAATAGCCGATGGCCAGGAGCAAATTTCATTTATCAAAGAAATCACCTGTGCCAACAATGCAGAGCCCCAGTCCGGGTCGAGCTCATCCCCCCTCAGCCTGTTCTCCCAAGAAAGAAGCAGCAAAATGCATTTGCATTATGAACAACAACCCTACATGGTTAAAAAAACAGCCACCCATGACTGGCTTGAAAATCATTTTATTTATTTTGTAATGAAATTTGGGTCCTGGTTTGTTTCCTTCTGGTTCCAGAGCCTGTTGGTTACACCCAAATCACAATTTCCGTTTTTTCTCCAGTCACAAGGGCTAGAAACTTTCTGATTTGTTTTTTCAATGAAAGCCAAGATTCTCAGTGACTCACATGACTCCAGGAGCTGGGGCTTTATGAAGACCATCATCAAATGACAAGCACTAGCTGCACTGCATTTGTGTCCAAATTGCTCCTGCCTTGTGCTCATCTCAAACAGGTTTCAAACCAGAGGGAGAGGGCCTCACATTGGTGCAACCATGCGCCCCACTTTCAGTGGGCCTGCTTCACTGCTAGGCTACGCCTTGGATCAGCACTTACTCCAGTGCAAAGCAAGGGTCTGATTTCCCCCCTTACTGCGGCAGAAGGGCCCAGATACCTCGGTGATGGGCACAGGACGGCTGGCTGGATAGACAGACATTTCAATGCAGGAGGCCTCTGTGCAAGTTTCGCATCATTTATTCATGGAACCAGAATCAGCAGAAGTTACGGTGAGCTCAGCAAACTGCCCAAGGGGCTGCCAGCTGTGAAGGGGAGAACGGAGCCCCCCCAGCTCATCCCAGCTGGCGCTGTGGTGGGGATCGTCCTGCCCTGGCCCCTTTCCCCCCATTTCAGAGCCGGCGTTTCTCCGCGCTGCCACCATCCGGCGTCAGTTACGGGGAGATGCCGACACTGGTGTGTCTGGGGGTGATAGCCGTGCCCATGGGGCTCTGGGCTCCCCATCCGGTTCCACAGGCTGGTCACAGGCTGGCCATGGAGGGATGTTTGCCCAGATCTGAGGGGACCTGCTTGCTCGCTGGCTAGTCTCTCTAGCCCGCCTGCAAGGATCTGAGTCCCAAGGCCCAGCTCTCCCCTGGCACGAGTGGGCACAGGGCAGCCACCTCTCCCTTTGCTCCCCGGGAGCCGCTGGAGGAGCTCAGGACAAACCACAGAAGCTGTGATCCAGGCAGAATCCGAGAGGTGTCGGCTCCGGGCCCTGGTGGTTCTGCAGCAGCCAGTACCATTGCTGGCACCGTGAGGGCGGGGTGCCCTCCATGCAGGCCCGGGCATGAGGGATGCCTCCACTCTTGCAGGGTAGATGCCAAGCTCAGGGCTTGGTGAGGGGGCGAGCAGCAGCTATTCTTTGCCTGCACTCTGGGCCCCCTCCAGCTCCCCGGGGGAGCCTGGCCTGCAGGGCTCAGGCCTTGGGCCTGACACTGGCTGGGGGAGAGATTCCTGGCCTGCTGCACGGAGAGCAGGGGACGGTGCATGCCAATGGCAGTCTCCACGAGGGGAGTGGGGCGCCTGCCACTCTGTCACCATGGCCACGGCATGCCCCCACCCCACCCAGAACGGGGGCTCTCCCTCGCACCCAGAGACGGGCTGCGGGGAGACAGGCTCCTGGGAGCAGGACAGGCTGGGAGACCCCCCTAGATCCAGCGGGGGCAGCCTCAGGAGGGGGGTTGTGGCTGTGTGGCATTGGGAACCAGACTGGGTGGTGCCCACCGCCACCCCCCAGTTCTTCGAGATTCTCTCTTGCTCTTGGCAGATGGGGACACTTGTAGCTCCCTCGGGCACGAGGCGGGTAGGTCAGCAGGGTGCATGGAACTAGCTGAGTGGGAACAGGTGATCCACAGGGACAGCTTTCCCCGCAACACCACTCCCTATATAAGGAGGAGCGGAAGCTATGCCAGTCTTTTAGCTCCCAGGGTAGGGAGCAGCTGTGTTGATCCCAGGGCAGGTAAGGGGCTGATTTCAGGGTGGGGGCTTGGTGTCTGGAACCTGGCATCTGGCTCCTAACAGGTTTGTCCTTGCACTCTGTAGGGAGCCTGCCTGGATGGAGAGGATCAGGGATCCGGGACCATCGCCAACTCCAGGTAGGTGCATCTGATCGGGGAACAGGGCTGAGGACGTGGCGGTCCCTAGAGAGAGGGACAGTGTCCTTTTCTGTGATGCCCCCTGCTGGCTGCACCCCCTGTCTGAGAGCTGGGCTGCTGGCCAGGGGCGTTTACCGCGTCACGGCGCATGCGGTAATGGCCTTTCCGGATGGGGCGCTGCGCCATGCAGCCCATCCAGAAGGGCCACACAGAAAAGGGCAGCCCTGGCGCAGTACAGGAGGTACGCGTTGGGGCGGGGGGAAGGAGGGAAGCTGAGGAGGGATGCCGGCTGCTGGGTCTGTCAAGGCCCCCCTGGCCCTGCTCTGCACGCCGTGCCTCGCGCCCGGCTGGCTGGGCATAGCGATCCCGCCGCAGCCTTTGCTTGTCTCTCAATTGGCATTCGTCACGGCTTCGCTGTAGCCAAGTTGGCTGCGGTTGATTGTTCACTTGTTAACTTGCTTAGTCGGTGACTTTTTATACTGTGGTGTTGGAAGGAATTCCCGGCCTGCCTCCCTGTGCCATGCGGGGGCGGGGGTCCCCGTGGCTGCTGAGTGATGGGTGGAGGGCTTAACCCTTCGTCGGCCAGCAGCCAAACCCAAGGGCTGGTGCTGCAGCAAATGCAGAGCTCAGGGGCCGTCTGCTCCCTGCCTTGGGGACGGAGCATCTCTCCCCAGCCCAAGGAGCCGCTGCTGTGTGTGGGGCCCTTATTCCTTCCCCACAAATCTGTAATGTGTTGTGGGGCAGGTGCACCCAGCCCTTCTCCTGGGCCCAGCTGGCCTGCCCTGCTCTGGCACGTCACAGCCTGCCCGCCCCTGTGGGGCTCCAGGACTCTGTCTCGGCCACCCCACACCCAGCTGCCCCCTGCCCTTGGCCATGGCCTGCTGGGGTGCCACCTAGTGGTGGAAAGTGGGATAGACTCATGTGGCTCAGCCTGGGGGTTCAGGAGAGAGGCCCTGGCGGGTGGACGAGGGGCTTCCCGTGCAGCCTCACAAACTTATGGACCAGGGGTTGTGCACCCATGATGCTGGGCAGGTGCCATCTAGGCTCAGGCTTCCTGCGCAGAACCCAAGTGGCCCGTTGCATGCCCAGTGCAGCGCTTGGTAGCCCCCAAAGATGAACCTGCCGGCTGTGCCAATGCCCAGATCCATCCCCCTCACCGTCCTGCCTAGCTTCCCCAGCCGCCACAGAGCCAGGCAAATGGCGCTGCTACGTGGGGCAGCCAGAGCTCTGCTGTCGGGGCAGTGGGGAGAGCCATTAACAGCCCCAGCGTCCCAGCAGGGCCTAAGGAATGTTGGGCTCACCTGCTCCAGTGTGTGGTACTGTCCTGAGTTCAGGGGAGCTGGCTCTGATGGTGCAGAGGGTTTAATTCCCCTGGGCTGGGGACTGGCCCCCACCTCCCATGGCCCCCATCTGTGTGCACACAGAGCAGGGATTCTGGCCGAGAGCCATGCCTGCCCGCTGGGAATGGGTACCATGGGAAGGGCTTGCATGGCAGGGCACCTCGGGCAGTGGGGAGGGTGGGGTTCATTGTGACTCTGCCGCGGTGCGCTGCGGTCACACTAGTGAGGTGTGTGACCCTCACAAAGCTCTCATAATGGTTTCCCCCACCCATCTGCCTGATCCGGGCGCTTCCTGGGCTGCATATTTGCCCAGGTGGGGAGGAAGTGAAGGGAATTATGGGGGTCCTGCTGAGTATGCCCCATTGCACCCCCGCCCTATGTACCCCTGAGCCGCCTGCAGAGCGTGCACCCCTGCCAGCAGGGGGGACGGGCATCTGCAGAGCGTCCTCTCCCGAGCTAGGAAGCTGGGGGCATTGTGCCCAGCTGGCAGGTCTCCCCTTCCCAGCCTGTTACCCTTGTGAGTGACGCTGGCTCTGTCCTGCTAGGAGCTGGGGCTCTGTCTGGGCGAAGGATGTGCTGCCACCCATAGGCCCAGGTGCTGGCTGAGCCCTGGGTTACGGCTTGCCACCGTGAGTCTCCCTGGTCTGTGGCACTGAGGGGTGGGTGAAGGGCCCCTCGCAGGCTGCTAGGGGGTCTCTGTGCCATCTGCCTGTGGGACTGGCCCGTCTCCACCCGCCCCCATTGCTCCCCCTGGAGCCCCCTGCTGATTCCCCAGCTCTGGGAGCAGCGCCTGGGCCCCTGGCAATGCCCTGCCCTGCGGGGGGCTGGTGCCCTCACCTCACGAGCACGTGTTTAGTCCCGGGGCTCCCTGGCACTGCCAGCGCCCCCTGGAGGACAGCGGCTCCCTCGGACCAGCCTGCGGGGAGGGAAGGGTTAACTGCACCAGGGTGGCGAGAACAAAAGGGAGCCCCGCTGGCCAATGGGCGCGCAGAGCTGCGTTTTGACACTCTCTGGTTGGCTGCCGCGGGGCCAATGGCAGGCGGGCGCTGGCCGCCCGTCCTGCCCCACGTGGGGGAAGGAGCCGCGAGTCGGGTCTCCATTGGCTGGCTGGGGGCCCGTCCATCGCTCAGCCCTGCACACGTCACCCCGCGTCAATGAGCCGCGTGCGCGCGCGGCCGGCGTGGGGGATGGAGGGACCCCGTGGGCGGGGCCTCGCGCTCCTCCCTCTCGGAGGCGGGGGCCGTCGCGCGG